GTGAACACAAATTAGTTAGCATAAATCAGTTAAATGATGAAAAATTAGGTGTCTATTTACTTGTGACCACTCAGTGTACGTTACTCATAAGAAGCACATACCAATTGTTTTATGAAATGGAAGGGAGAATACACGTGGTTTGCTAAGGACATATAAAGTAGTATTTGTTATGTCCTCAGTTGAAAGAGAAGATATTTAATAGACAAACATTTATTGCTAGTTACATGCAGTGTATGAGGGTCCTAGCTTTTTGAATGAAAATGGGGTGGACTAATATACAAATTTTTTGCTACAGAAACATACCAGTAGACATCCCCTATTTTTATTTATTTATCATGCTGAGTAACTTCACTTTTCTCTTGTAACACATTATTTGAATTTTTATTATTGATAACTTTTCGAGTTAGACAGTTATTTATGGTAAGAGCTACTTTTTTAATATACTGATTGATTTTGCTTATTAAATTTAGTTTTTTGGATTCCTGAAATTTATAGTTTTACCCTTTATTTTAAGCCAATTTAACTGAAGTAACTAATTAAAGGTATTTCAGTTCTTTTAGAAATATTAACATTTTTTAATGCTTAAAAACTTCTGAAATTGTCTAAGTATATTAGATTTATTGCTTAATTTCTTAATATAATTAGATTCTCAATAAACACAGTTTTTGTTTTTTAAACAGTCCTGTTTATCATGTTAATTTTAAGTGTATATGTTAACAGTGAGCAGCTATTAAAAGCACATAACTCTGTCTGTTCAATATTCTTTTAAATTAGAATTGTAAAAAATATTTAGTAACAAACAACAAATGTCATTTATGTAAATAGTTCTTTCAACTTACATTTGACAGCGCATGATGCTTACACGAAGAATCAACCATTAGTTACAGTAATGAAAAGTTTAGAAAATTAAAATTTTAGACCAGTTCTGTTGTTATTTAACAAATGGATATTTCTTTTATTCAACATTTGAAAAGTGTTGACCAAATCACGATCTAAGAACACTTTGTTATACTTAGTGAATGCTGTTTACCTGCCTATGTGATTGATAATGATGATTAATTTAGTTCTTTCGTTTTTAATATTTGCATCTGTTTTATCTACAGTATTGTTTGTGGTGATAGAAAAAAACCATAAAATCCTAGCCTTTCAGTATTATCTGACTTTATTGTTATTATGTAATATTTTTGTTATTATTTGTATGATAAATACATTTGTCTAGTAGTATATGGTAACAGTACTAGTGTGGTACATGTAACTTAATTTTCAACTATTCTCTAAACAAAAATCATTGTTTTCTTTACATATGGAAAGTATTACTATAACATTAATTTTGTCTAGTATGATTTGGGAAACCAAGTTCTTTTAAGATTAACTTTTTTTTTTCATGCTCCAACTGTGAATGTACAGTGTGTCTTAGGACTATTACAGTATTTTTAATAATTGACAACTTTGTGACTGAAACACCTTGTGTTATTAATGAAAGAATGTATCACTTGTTTTGTGGTTTTATAGTAATTGTGAATCAATAAACAAAATTTCTGATGGTGTTTTATTTACACTAATATCTAAGAAACTTACCTATGAAATGTTGAAACATAGTTTCTTACATAGGTAAATGTTGCATGTAGGTGCATGTAAGGTATAGCAGTAAGTGTTTCTTTAAATTTGGGATGAGATTAGTAGAAACAGCTGTTAGTTTTTGTTGTTTTTAATTAGGTATTTTACTTTTTTGATTCTTTAAAGACCATAGATTTTTATATTGTTATTTTATGAATTGGATGTATATAATGATATTTAAGTTAAATTCAGTGTTAATAGAAAACATATTACAAACAGGTGTTTTGTTTTTAAAGTAATCGATCTTCCAAACTTTTTATGTGACGTTTTTTTCGTGAAAGAAAGATACATGTGTGTCTCCATATTTTTGTGTGTATCTAACTGTTTTGCAATTTTTTAGGGCAAAACAAGAAAGCACACATAAGAACTAAATACAAACTCTATGTACATGTTTGTCCACTAAATGTTCAATATTTAGAGGAAAAAATGTTTAGGTGGCTCTGCCTTTTTTCAGTAGTGACATATACTTAGATCAAAATATTGTTATAGATTGAAGTATGTGTATCAAATTCACATGTATGTCATTGGTAAATAAAATCAAATGAATAGAAAAAGTTTTTTCAGAAGTTAATAATCTTGGTATTAGTGGAAGTCTTTTATTTTATTATTAGGGTAACATTTTTTAAAATTAGCATTATCCATTTTTCTTGAAATTATTTCTTTCAATGGACTTTACTTTGGGATAATAAAAAACTTTAAAGCTAAGGGAATTCCAAGTAGTTCTAAAATAATCATGATATAAAGCAGAATGATATATAATAAAATTTGAACGCTTGAATTTTGGTGTATTAATTTTCATAATAGTTATTTTTCTATTGATTTAGAAACTAACACTTGTTTTGTGCTTTAGGTAGAAAACCCTATATAAAAAATATATATATATGTATAGTGGAAGTAATTTTACATTTTAGTGTTTGATTCTTCTGTGTTAATTTAGTTTTTATTGTTATTTAAAAAGATTTTTATAAAATGGTGTAGGACTTGATTTAAGTATGATATACAATTAATAAGCTAAAATATGTATAACAGAAAGTGTAAATAAATGAAAAAATAGAGTTGGCTGTGTCGTAGGACTTTGTAAATATAATAGTATTGAAAAAATATCTTGCATACTTTTGTAAATATAGCAGTATTAAAAAGAACTGTGAGTATAGTGATACTGAAAGAACAAGTCTCCTATTTTATGTGTAAAACAGTAATACTGAACTTACATGTTTATGTGTAAATGTATTATAAATAACTTAAATGCTTTTCTGTAAATATAGCAGTACTGAAACTTACAAAATAGTTTTTAATGTTATTATCTGTTTGTTAACTTAAGTCACATATATATAATTTCAAATTGGAATGAACACCAAAAGTTGGATTCACACACGATAACACTAGCTGTTCTTTGTGTAGTATTTAAAAACCTTCACTCATCGTTAGTGTTATGTCGTTCAACCAATCGTAAGAACTTGCTAAAATATCCCGTTTTAAGTGACTTGTAGTGGGCCTAGTTATTTTGTATTAATTAATATTAAATTGTATGTATTTGTGTTCTTACAGTCAATCAACTTTGGTTTGGTTTTGATTCAATTTCGTCCAAAGTCACTGGTTTTCATTGAGAGAATTTGTATTCACTTGACTGTATTGTAACTTATCGTACTCATGTCATAGTAAAAAAAAATAAATAAATAAATAATTTACTGGATCGCACGATTGGATAGTTTAATCGTACAAATATTTATGTTTACACATACAAATGCACGCAACATACATAACAAACAGGGTATTTTTGTTGAAGTTTTACAGTAGAGCATTCATTAAGTTTGTAAGTTCACATTATAAAGTAAGCTAAATAAATAGACTGAATTGCAAGTGTGATAATACGTTTAGCTTTTAGCAAAAAAATTCTGTTGTCATTGTCGTATGTTTTGTTTTTTCTGCAACTTCACCGTATTAAACAACAACGATAAGAAACACAGTAATAGTTATAATTCACCAAAACTATTGCACAATGTGTCGCACGAATATTTTTATTCGGTGTATATGACTGTAATGTTATGGTAGAAACGCTAAGCAAAATGATTTATTGCGTTTTAAAAGGCCTAACTTTGTTTTGTAGCTTTGGCTTTCTACGGTATTCAGTATGAACGATAGAGTATCAACTTTTCGTTCAAGAGAGAGCCACTAGATCCACGTGTAACTCTTTTTTTACGATACTTAACTTTGACCTTTCATTGAAGCAATGTGTCGAAAATCTGTGTGCTGAACGTGTGATATGGTTTGAATAAAACGCAACTCAATGCCGACACTCAATGATTTACTTTCGTAATATATCGGTTTCTATTTATTTTTAAGTATAACTTAAACGTACTCTTAACGCAAGTTCGATTTGTTGTTGTTTTTTTGTGCTTAGAAAGTCCCCATGTATTCCAAAGAAGACTTTTAGTTGGATATTCCAAAATTTTAA